TGTTGACCAGGATGGTCTCGATCTCTTGACCTCGTGATCCACCCGCCTCGGCCTCCCAAAGTGCTGGGATTACAGGCTTGAGCCACCGTGCCCGGCCTGCATGACTCTCTTTAATCCTCACAATTACCTTCAAAGTTATCATGATGCCAGTTTTACAGATAAGGAAACTGATGGTTCCAGAGGTCATGTCCCACAATGCCAAGTTGAAGCCTTTCACTTGGAAGTTGAGAAACCTCAGGGCCAAAGCTGCCAGGGGTCTTGAACTAGTCAACAGAGCTAGCCTCATTAGCAGCCCACTTAGGATGTTTCCAGTTCAGCTTCTGGCTGAAGGCACACTGCAATGATTCCAGAAGCAATATGACTATCAGTGTCCAAGGAACAGAAAGTTGCCAGAGGCAAAGTGTTCATCTATTAAAACGGGGTGGGGGTATGAAGACTCCTGGGCAGGTTTTAGGCAAATAAGCCTTTACAGGTCACCCAGGGTGGATTCATGTCTCAAGGTCTCAGGGGACAGACATGGATAAGCAGCAGTAGGTCAGAGGTTGAGGAGCTAGACAGGCCTATTGCTGGAGCCACAGAAATTTGCCACCAGTCCTGGATGCATCACTTTTAACCTTTCTATGTCTCAGATGAGTAACTGATTAGGAATGTACAGAGTCCCTGCCAGATGCTCTGCCAAAGAGGACAAATTTGGCCAATAATAGTTACTGAGGGGCTGGGTGCAGTGGCTCGTGCCTGTAATCTCAGCACTTTGGGAGGTCGAGGTGGGTGGATCACCTGAGGTCAGGGGTTCAAGACCAGCCTGACCAATGGAGAAACTCTGTCTCTAGTAAAAATACAAAATAAGCCAGGCATGGTGGTGCATGCCAGTAATCCCAGCTGCTCGGGAGGCTGAGAGAGGAGAATCACTTGAACCTGGGAGGCAGAGGTTGCAGTGAGCTGAGATCACACCATTGACTCCAGCCTGGGCAACAAGAGTGAAACTCCAACTCAAAAGAAAAAAAAAAATAGTTACTGAGGGCTATCAAGTGACTTTAGGGTTACAAAGGTACATACATAAGATCCAGTCCCTATTAGCTGGGCATGGTGGTACATGTCTGTTGTCCCAGCTACTCAGGAGGCTGAGGCAGGAGAATCGCTTGAGTTTGAGAGGTGGAGGCCACAGTGAGCCGTGATCACACCACTGCACTCCAGCATGGGCGAGAGTGAGATCCTGCCTCAAAAAAAAAGATCCAGTCCCTGCTTCTTTCTCTAATCGGGTGACAAACCATCCTGCTTTGCTGGAACTGGCCCAGTTTAAGCACTGAAAATCCCCCATCTCAGGAAACCCCTCAGTCCTGGGCACGCAAGGCCAATTGGTCCCCGTGGAAGGTCTTGATGGAAAGGGGAAGGGGAATCCAGACATGAGATAATGATGAACACTAGCTGCGGGCATGTGACTCCATGTCTAATACAGAGGCCCCAAGGGACTCAGGACAGCAGTGCTGTATGCACCACATCAGACCCTGCAGCAAAAGGAAACACCAAGAATACTGATCCTTCTTTATTTACAAATGTGATATTTTGAGTCAGGCGCAATGGCTCACATTTGGGAGCATGAGGTGGGAGGATCACTTGAGCCCAGGCTGCCTCCCAAAGTGCTGAGATTACAAGCATGAGCCACCATGCCCAGCCCAAAGCAGTTTCTGTTGTTGTTTTGTTTTGTTTTTGAGATGGAGTTTTGCTCTTGTTGCCCAGGCTGGAGTGCAGTGGCCTGATCTTGGCTCACTGGAACCTCTGCCTCCCAGCTTCAAGCGATTCTCCAACCTCAGCCTCCTGGGTAGCTGGGATTACAGGCATGCACCACCACACCTGGCTAACTTTGTATTTTTAGCAGAGACTGGGTTTATCCATGTTGGTCAGGCTGGTCTCGAACTCCCGACCCCAAGGGATCGACCTGCCTCGGCCTCCCAAAGTGCTAGAATTACAGGCTTGAGCCACCGCGCCTGGCGAGCAGTTTTTAATCTCATGTATGACAGTTACTTCTGTGTCAGACACACATAGTCATGTGTGCATTCCTCCTGGACTGTGGGCCCCTTGAAACAAAGTTCATGTGTAAATACCATTTTATCATCAACAGAACTAGTGCAAAGCCCCCAAATGTGCCAGACATTCAGTGAATATTTGCAGAATTTGAGAATCAATAATAATTCCTAAGATATATTAAGTACCAGCCCTGACCTAAGCTTTAACTTTTAGAGGTTAACATGAATTTCTTTTCTTTTTTATTTTTTTAAGTTTCTTACCTTGCTATAGTTGAACTTCAGTTTTCCTACCAAAAAAGGTAAGTCAAAGCATGGTGGTGCTTGGCTGTAGTCCCAGCTACTCAGGAGGCTGAGGCAGGAAAATCACTTGAACCTGGAAGGCAGAGGTTTACAGCGAGCTGAGACTGCACCACCGCACTCCAGCCTGGGCAACAAAGCAAGACTCTGTCTCAGAAAAAATTTTTCAAAAGGAACGAGGTCGGGGCCGGGCGCGGTGGCTCAAGCCTGTAATCCCAGCACTTTGGGAGGCCGAGGCGGGTGGATCACGAGGTCAAGAGATTGAGACCATCCTGGTCAACATGGTGAAACCCCGTCTCTACTAAAAATACAAAAAATCAGCTGGGCATGGCGGTGCGTGCCTGTAATCCCAGCTACTCAGGAGGCTGAGGCAGGAGAATTGCCTGAACCCAGGAGGCAGAGGTTGCGGTGAGCCGAGATCGCGCCATTGCACTCCAGCCTGGGTAACAAGAGCGAGACTCTGTCTCAAAAAAAAAAAAAAAAAAAAAAAAGGAACGAGGTCTTGCTCTGTCACTCAGACTGGAGTGCAGTGGTGTGATCATAGCTCATAGCAGTCTTGAATTCCTGGGCTCAAGCAATCCTCCCATTCCACCTCAGCCTCCCAAGTAGCTGGGACTACAGGTGCACACCACCCTGCCCAGTTAATTATTTATTTTTTGTAGAAATTAGGTTTTGCTCTGTTGTCCACACTGGTCTCCCACTTTTACCTCCAAAAGAGCTAGGATTACAGGTATGAGCCACCTTGTCTAGCCATGAACTCACACTGGACCCTAGGCAACTGGATTCTAGTCTCTGTGTGCCTAACCACCAGGCTGCCCTGCCTGAGTCAAACTGATTCCTACAGCCTCAGTCCTCAAACATCATCAGCTTGGTTTTCTTCACTTCAGAGATGAGGAACAGAGAGGTGCAAGTGTTAATAACAGTAGAACTAGGACCAGAGCTCTGGATTCCAGGCTCTCAGTCCAAGAGCAGCACATTTTCATGGTTACCATATCTCTCAAAGCAAGGCACCCTTGGGGAGCTTGCACGACCTGCGAGGGCCTTCAAGTGCTATTTACTTAGCTAGGTGTGGACTCTGCCTGGCTCCTGGGCTATTGTCTGCACAGCAAATGTCACCCAGCCCCCAACCACAACCAAGGCGTGGGAACAAAGACCAAAAAAACAAAAAACATTCTTTTGCTGGTTTCAGACACCTTGACATAAGTTTTCAGTTTCTATCTAATAACATGCAAATTACTGAAAGAAGGGGTCACTGAGAAGTCTACTGACAAGTATCGCGTCCTAAAAGCAGTGGATCAGGCCTGGATCTTTTCCATGCCTGGCCAGCCTCCAGGACACAGGGCAAGGAATCTAGATTTGAATCCCAGTTCCACTAGCTGGGCATGGCAGCATGCACCTATAGTCCCAGCTACCTGAGAGACTGAGGTGGGAAGATCATATGAACCTGGGAAGTAGAAACTACAGTGAGCTGTGATCGCACCACTGCACTCCAGCCTGACTGACTGAGACCCTGTCTCAAAAAAATAAGTAAGACCCCAGTTCCACCACTGACTAATTTCATAGTCATGGGCTTAGCTTCACGGGGCCTCATTCTCCTCTGAGAAAGGGAGCCAATTCCTAGCTTGCAGGAGCCAAAGAGAGATCAGATGCCAAGTGCTCACACAGTGCCTGACACATGTCCAACACTCGTTAGCTATTCTTCCTAAAGTTGACTTATTTCAAACATCCTCATGTATGTCTCTCTGAAAATAAAGGGAACTTTAAAGTATAGAGGACAAAAACAAGGCTTACTATTTTTTCCTACTCTGACTTTACCTAACTTTTTCCTGGAAACGGGTTCCAAGAACTTTTAGAAGTAGAAAGTGGACAAACAAGAGAGATTTTAATCTGTAAAAACAGCCCTACAGATTCCCTCTTTCTCAGGAAGGCCACTGCCTGCAGCTGGAAGCTAATCCACTTAATCAGTAACTTTAGCTCCCTGATCAGTTTCCAACAAGCAGTTCCTGTTCTTGAACCAGGATATGCAAACATGGGCACTTACTGGAAGGGAGGTTTCAGGGCCTCTGGAATTTCGTCAGCTGCTCACTCTCCCAGGAGAGCTGTGGGACCTGTCAAGCCGGTGGCCAAGGACAGAAGGCAAGCTGAACATTTCAAGGTCTACTGGGCCTCCGCCTTTTCAGTTTTTAATTCAGGCAGAACACATTTAAGAAATGCCAAGAAGGAAACAGTGTGGATTTATGGCTGCCAAGCCAAGTGGGGTACAGAAAGAAAACAAGAGGAAATACAAAAGGTCGTCTACCTCATTATACAAAGTGAGGAGGCAGGGCAGGTACACAGAGCATAGCCTTGTCCCATCTCAGGAGCCCTGGGTTCCATCCCAGCTCCTGATCCCAGAGATATCTCTCCTGGGCCTCCAAGGGAGATCAATAACACTGCCCAAGCCCAGAGACCTGAAGCGCTTTCCCAGGGGAGTGGGGTAGTGAGTGTGTAAAATTTAAGGCCAAATGCAGAGATGGGGAAGGATATTCTCTCTCTCTCTCTCTCACCACCCCCCCCACACACACACACATATACACATATCCTGCCTCCCATTTAAAAACAAAGTTGTTGATTAAGGTCAGGTGCAGTGGCTCACATCTGTGATCCCAGCACTTCGGGAGGCCAAGGCAGGTAGATGACCTGAGGTCAGGAGTTCGAGACCAGCCTAGCCAACATGGTGAAACCCTATCTCTACTAAAAGTACAAAAGTTAGGTGAGTGTAGTGGTGGGCACCTGTAATCCCAGCTACTTGGGAGGCTGAGGCACAAGAATCGCTTGATCCTGGGAGGCGGAGGTTGCAGTGAGCTGAAATCACACCATTGCCCTCCGGCCTGGGTGACAAAGTGAGACTCCATCTCAAAAAAAAAAAAAATTATATATATCTATATTAAGGAAGTGTTGAAGGGGCTGGAGTGAATGTAGGAAGGAGACAAGGGATAAGAGTTAAAATAAGTATATACAGAAATCTAGAAAGA